TGTCTGTCACAGAATAATCTCCTCAGAGTAGGTGGACTTAGCCAAGAACATAAGGGGCCTCAAACCCACAGCCTGTGGGCCACTTCCAGCCCACAAACCTCCTCTCACCCAATGTTGTGGTTCATTTAAGAATGATACCAGTGGTTTACACAGGCGGGCTGGACTGGTTCAGATTAGACTGGACTGGTTCAGACTAGACTAGACTAGACTGGACTGGTTCAGATTAGACTGGTTCAGATTAGACTGGACTGGTTCAGATTAGACTAGACTAGACTGGTTCAGATTAGACTGGTTCACATCAGACTAGACTAGACTGGTTCAGATTAGACTGGTTCAGATTAGACTAGTTCACATCAGATTAGACTAGACTGGTTCAGACTGGACTGGTTCAGATTAGACTGGTTCAGATTAGATTAAACTTTCTTGAGCCCACACTGGGGAAACTGTTCATATCGTTCCATTGTACTGAACACTGATGTGGTCCGCGGCCCATTTGAGTTTGAGACCCCCGTGCTAACGGTTAGCTTCTCTTTACATCTATGCTAACCAGAGTTTGTAGTTTTATCTTCAGAGGAGGTTCCTGCTCAACGTACCTGCAGATATTCCTCAAACTCTTTCCTCTTGGAAACAAGAAACTCGTAATTCTTTGGTCCGATGATTCGTTTGGAGGGGAGCTGGGCATCTGCAAAGGTTCCTGAAGAGGAGAGCCACCAGTGTGAGACAGAAGCTGGATCATCTGGAACACCTGATGGAACACTGAGAGCCTCACCGTGGAACTCTGTCAGCTTGGATTCCAGAACGTAGAACTCCAGGTATCTCCTGTAAACCGACCAGTGCTCTGGGTCGTGACCTACTGCGGGAGCAGGATGAAGAAGATGAGGTGATGATGAGGATGTGTTGATGGACCTGTGGGAGGAACTTTCTTCATCTCCCACACCAGAGCTCACCTTCTTTCCTGTCGTTACGCTCCACGTCGATGCAGAACACAGGGGTCTTCTCCCTCTTCACCTCGTCCTCACAGATGTCCACGTACGGTATGATGATGCTCCATGCCGACAGGTTCCTCAGGCTCCCGGCTGCACTCACTGGCTCCGCAGGAGAATCATCCTCCACCACCACAGTGGCCTCCTCCACCTGTGGGGGACGAGCCATAGAGAGAAGCTTTGAGTATGACATCACACCCAGGGGTCCAGACCACCAGATAGTCAAGACTTTCTCTTGTTCCTACACCAAAAAAATCTCCATGAGGTTTGGTGTGGCAGAAGAAGTTCAAGAGTTGACCGTGAATCAGTTCAGTCCAGTGTCAATTACCACGTCGTCCTCCAGTCCATAGAGAAAATCAGAGATTCTAGTACAGACCAAACCTCATGGAGATTTTTTTGGTGTAGGAACAAGAGAAAGTCTTGACTATCTGGTGATCTGGAGCCCTGGGTGTGATGTCATACTCAAAGCTTCTCTCTATGGCTCCCCCCCCCCCCGCGCGGGGCGGCCCCGGGGGGGGGGGCAGTGGGGGGGGGGGGGGGGGAGCCATAGAGAGAAGCTTTGAGTATGACATCACACCCAGGGTTCCAGACCACCAGATAGTCAAGACTTTCTCTTGTTCCTACACCAAAGAAATCTCCATGAGGTTTGGTCTGAACTAAAATCTCTGATTTTCTCCATGAGGTTTGGTGTGAACTAAAATCTCTGATTTTCTCCATGAGGTTTGGTGTGGCAGAAGAAGTTCAAGAGTTGACCGTGAATCAGTTCAGTCCAGTGTCAATTACCACGTCGTCCTCCATATCAGCCATGGTGCTGGGCGGGAGTATAGCGCCCTCCATTGTCGTGCTTCGGAACACGCCTTTAATTTTGCTTCCAATTCTGCTGATACTTAATGTCTCCCCTCTTTTGATGGTGTTCCTAAAACAACAAACAACAGGAACAAAAAAAACGACTAAAAACTAAAGACGTGAATATACAAAACTCCTGCTCTTTGTTCCAGTGAACATCAGCCATGTTTCTGTTGACAGTAGGTGGCAGTAATGACACTCATTTTTTCCTTATTTTCTTGGTGAAATGGTTCGGATCAAGTTTCACGATTAGATCGATATAAAACATGGAACAAGGCTTTCAATGTTAGCTCCACCTAATGGCCAGCGGAGGGAGCCACATGCGTAATGCTGACTAACCTGTTGATTTTGGAGTTTTTGTTCAGAGACTCGGCTCCTCTCAGCAGATACCTGAAATACTGAACACAGATACTCACTGTTAAAGGCACAGTACCACGTTTTCAAACTCAGTGAGGAACCGACACAGAACCAGGCAGTTCACGTCTGACTTCTGACCACTGGTGGCCGCAACTCAACTGGACGCTGCTTTTTTCCCAATTGCATTTGGCTACCGTAGGCTAACCCTCAGCTACCATAGGCTAATGCTCAGCTACCGTAGGCTAATGCTCAGCTACCGTAGGCTAACCCTCAGCTATTGTAGGCTAACCCTCAGCTATTGTAGGCTAACCCTCAGCTATTGTAGGCTAACCCTCAGCTATTGTAGGCTAACCCTCAGCTACCGTAGGCTAACCCCCAGCTCCTGTAGGCTACCCCTCAGCTACTGTGGGCTAACCCTCAGCTACTGTAGGCTACCCCTCAGCTACCATAGGCTAACCCTCAGCTACAGTAGGCTAACGCTCAGCTACCGTAGGCTAACGCTCAGCTGCAGTAGGCTAACGCTCAGCTACAGTAGGCTAACGCTCAGCTACAGTAGGTTAACGCTCAGCTACCGTAGGCTAACCCTCAGTTGCAGTTAAGTTTTCAGCTCCTTTACTAAAACAGTTTGTTGTAAAACAGTTTTTCCATGGCTACACTTTTAGCAGCACTAACTGTTAGCTAGCTGGTCCGGCCTTTTAGCCATTGGTTGGTGGTCTCCTCCTGGGTCTCACCTCGTCGCTGTGACAGAACATGGGCGTGAAGACGTTCTCCAGCAGAGACAGGACGTGTTCGTACGCCTCGAACAGGCAGCGCATGGTCTGCAGCTTCACCACGTCACCGTACGGACCCTCGGCAACTACAGGAGAGGGAGGGGGAGGGGCAGGTGAAACAAAGACCACCACACTGCCACCCAGTGGCAGGGTAAGACACAGCTGATATTTACTGTTCCTGATCTCCTCCACTATGAAGGGGTCGAAGCTGATCTTGTCCACGCTCTCGTCCAGGCAGTAGGTCTGGTAGATGTGCAGCACCTCAGCGTGCAGACGCTGCAGCTCTGAGTCGCTCAGCTCCGGACTCAGGATCTTGTCGTTGAACTCCTCTGGAGGAGGAAGAGGAGGAGGAGGAGGAGGAGGAAGGAGGGAGATGACGGAGGGGTCTGACTGTCCCGGACGTGTTGGATTGGTTTGTCTAACCCTACCTGCAGCCAGGCAGAACTGCAGCACGTGCACGGCTCCTTCCTGCTTCAGAAAGTTCATGAATCGAAAGAGAAGATCCTGCTGGTTCCGGATCTGCTTCAGCTCCAGCTGCAGAACCTGTAGAAGTCAGAGTGAGGAGTTGAGAGGTCCAGTCTAGTTCACAGACCAAAGTCATAGAGAAAGTCAGTGATTTTAGCAGCTGCTGGTCCTCCGCTGCCTCCTGTGGTCAGTCTGTGTCACTGAGGTGAATCTGAACAGATGATTTCCAACAGTGGAGTCACAGAAGAACCCACTAGAACCCGTGTTGGATCAACAACTGCTGAGTCTCTGACAGAGAAAATCACTGGTTTTCTCTATGAGGTTTGGTGTGAGGTTTACACTCTGCTTGTTTTCTATTGGACTTGAATCAGAGTGAGTCAAAGATGTGACGCGCGGCCCCTCACAGACGACTTCTTGTTGGTGACATCAGCGTACTTCTGTAGAAACGGGACGAGGGCGGACAGAGGCTCAGTGGCTTCTTCGGGCTGAAATCAGGCAGCACATCAACAGGAGGTCAGTGACTCATACACCTGTCGTCATTATGCTAACAAAAAGGATTCACATTAGCACTACTTACTGGAGTGTCGTCAACAAAGATGAGCACCATGTGGTTCACTGTGTCCTAACAGAAACATGTGAAGATACATGTCAGATACTTTTTTTTTTTTTTTTTAAACTTTCATCATCACAGGTTCAACCTTCACCTTCTTACGTCCTACTTACTGGGTCGGCAATGAAGTCCATCGTAGGCAGGAAGACAGAACCGGCCATCACCTCACGGAGCAGCAGAGCCAGAGACCTGAGGGAGGCAGCAGGTTCAGGACAAGACCTGCAGAGGGAGCTGTTCTATGTGAGTCTACAGCGCTCACCTGCAGTCTGTAGCTTTGGGTGGCATCAGGTAAGGAAACAGCGCCTCCGTTAGTTTTCGCAGGTATTGCAGCTCGTCCATTCTGCTGCGCAGAGCCACGTGCAGAGAGGAGCCGTACTCCTCCAGCGCCGCCTGCTGTAAACTCTCCACCTCCTTCACTGCACACAGAGTCCGTTAGCTAGCTGTTAGCCTGTTCTGGACCGACTTCGAGTTAGCTTTGACACAACTTCTATTACTTATAGCAAGTTTTTGCACCGACTCCAGGGGGCGTTTTAACCCCCTGCGTGTGTGTGTATTTGGTGATAAGCTGATTGGTTCATTGGAGCAGATTCTGCCACCTGCTGGAGACCTGTTTGAACCACACCAGCCAAACTCCCAGCAAACTGTACGTGTTAATCTTCATGTTCACTGTGGCTAACGCTAACGTTGTTAGCTAACTATTTTGTACCTTTTGCTTCAGCTTTTGCAATAATTTCGATGTGTTTCATTGCAGCTTTCAGCACTTTGTCTGCCACAACGGCAGGGATGTCCACCTGGAAATGAAGAGAGGAGGTTCAAACAACCGAGCAGGGTCGGTGCAGGAGGAACTGTTTCACAGGAGGTTCTCTCTGTGCTCCAGCATCACCTTCTGAGCTCGACGGACCAGCACGGAGGCCAAGAAGCGAAATGTTGTCCTCAGTTCGTCAACACACGCCTCGTCGTCTGTGATGTCCCTGAAAAAGAGTCCAGAGTGAAGAGCAGGCCTGCAGGAGGTCCAGCCTCATGGTGGAGCTTCATACCTGTACCAGGGATACACAAAGTTCTCCAGCACCAACTCAAAGATCTGCAGAAACAGAGCAGGAGTCAGAAGGTTGGACGGATAGAGGAGAAGATTCTACAGATGAACCAACAAAGCTACAGAAATGTGATTTCTTCTGCTTCTGTTGTGATTTAGGTCCTGCAGACAACCTGTGTCTGTGAGGTCTGGTCTGAACTAAAATCTCTGCTGATTTTCTCTGTGAGGTTTGGTCTGAACTAAAATCTCTGCTGATTTTCTCTGTGAGGTTTGGTCTGAACTAAAATCTCTGCTGATTTTCTCTGTGAGGTTTGGTCTGAACTATTCTCTGTGAGGTTGGTCTGAACTAAAATCTCTGCTGATTTTCTCTGTGAGGTTTGGTCTGAACTAAAATCTCTGCTGATTTTCTCTGTGAGGTCTGGTGTGACCTGCAGCCTTCAGTTACACCATGGAGATACCTCTGCAATCGAGGCGTCCACCTTAGAATGCAGCTTCAGGTCCAGCCATGGCTGAAAGTTTTCCAGCAGCAGTGTTGGCCTAAAGGAAACAACAACAAGTCTGTGACTCTGATCCAGATCTGGGTCTGGTCCTGGTCTGGTCTGGTCTGGGTCTGGGTCTGGTCTATATGCTGTACTTGTGGACAAACCCACCTGTGCCGTTTACACTTGACTTTACCACAGACAGCACAGCAGTGGCCAAGAGGAAACAGTTCCTGCTCCTGTTCCTGCTGCAAAGACACATCAGAAATAAGTAAACGACAGTAAAACCCCAAGGCTGTTAGCAGACGTTCTAACCATCAGACAGAGTAGAGCGGAACACGTACTTTGGTTCTGGACTTTATGGTGAACAGGACGTTTGGGAGCAGAGACTCTGGTCCCAGGGAGCAGTAGAAGGTGACCAGACCAGCCAGGAAGGACCAGAAGAGCATCAGGATGTGGAGGTACCTGCAGACACAGGACACAGAAACCACCATCACCAGAGACACAGCGGCTGCCGGTCCTCTGCTGCCCCCTGTGGTCAGGTCTCAGAGGAACTCTCAGTGAGAACTGCTCGAGTCACTGATGTTCTAATGAGGTCAGGTGTGGGTGGGACGGTGACGTGTAATGTAGCTCTAACCTGTTGAGCAGCAGCGTCGCCGTCGCCATGGAGACCAGCAGGAAGCAGAAAAGTGGGTAGTGACGTCCTACCTCCGTCACCTCCCGCTGTATCTCCTTGATGTACTTCAACAGGGCGGACATGTTGTCACGGGACACAACCAAAAACAACTGACATCTTATTGGTTTTACAACACAACAATCATTTTAACACGACTGTAAACTAACACCAAACACGTCACGCTCCCATGACGGCGTAGTCTGTGTTAATGGAGTGAGCGGACAACACTGTGTTTTTTTTATAAACGCTGACAGAACAAGAATATCTGCGCTCCTTCCCAGAATATAACCGCTTTAGTTCATCAGATGTCGACCTGAGAGTCGTACAAGTCGCGGAGTTTGTCCAGAAATGTTCTTATTTCCCTCTGAAGTTTCCACAGTTTGACTCGGTGTGTTGTCTTTGAGTCCGGTCGGGTAACTTCCTGTTCTCTCTTGGGTTGCCAGGTCCGTGATCGGAAATACGTCAATTGACACGTTAGATAGGATAACCATTGTATTATTTACCTTTAGGTTGTCATCATTATATTGTCAAAGTACACATAATAATAGAATGTAGACACACAAGCAGTTTAAAAGACACTGTAGATCGAAATAATATTAGTACTTTTTAAGCTATATATATATATATTTATAGATTAGATACGGGTGGTACAGGTTATCAACACTATTGATTGATTTAAATAAAGGTGTCCACGGATAAAGTCCGGTTTTTAAAGTGTAGTTTACCTGTGTTATCCAGGGTTGCCATGTCTGCGTTTTTACCACTAAAACGTTTGGGTTTTTGACTCTGCGCTGCCCCCTACTGAACTTGCATGTAAACAGCCCCTGCAAGGCGGTGCGGGAAACCCCTGTTGTAGAACAGTTCTGGCGACGTTACGTCGTCGCCATTTTGTTTTACCGGGAGTGCAGAAACAGTAGCGGCAGTAGCAGCGGAGTGTTTCTGTTCTTCTCCGCAGCACGAACCGTCAACCCGGCACTGCCGCATCGTGCAGACAACGCCAAGGTCGCATGGCACGTATACGACTATTTCACTGTCGTTTTGTTTCTGTTTCGTTGTTTATTTGCTCACGCACTGGTTAGCAGTCGAACCGCTAACCGGCATTTGAAATAATGGTCTGTTTTAAAGAGAATATACATGAAATTAGAACTCTGTATTTGACAAGAAAACACGGGAAAGATTCGGAGAAGCTTTGTGCTTTGGAAACGTGTCTGTTTGTGTACAGTGTGTTTTAAATCGTACTTCTCGCGGTCTCTTTGCATTAGCACGCGTGTGAACGAAGCTGTGGCCTGTTGTTTGTGCCTGAGCCTGTTATCCTAACTTAGCCTGGCTAACTGGCGTGGGGAATGCGAAATTAAATTTGACTATCGTCACATTATTTTATTTTCTGAGGCTCTCGTATCTCCAACAGTTAGCAGAGTTGAACTGTGTGAATGTTTCCGTGGACATGATGTGATTCTTTTTTTTTTTTTACACGAACGGTTGTAAACATTGGTACAAAGCAGTAATGTTTGAAAAGCGTCAACGCGGGCGCCAAATAAAACACACACACGTCACTTTAAACTCTTCAACACTATAAACCCGCCACAAACAGCTCGACATAAGTAACAAACTAGTTGACGATATTCTACACCACATGTAATTTACAGTCGTGAGAAAGTCAGCCCTTAATCCTGGAGAAAATGCTCAAAAATACACAACACGTCACAGTTCATAGACAGCAGCTCGTACCATGTACAAACAAACTGATGATGAAGAGTCTGTTAGAGAGGCCGCTGACGTCGGCACATCCACGGGATCATACATGAACGAGTCTTTGTGACTGAAGCAGATTTGATTTCATTGTTTGGTTTCATCTTCATAAAGTCGCGGTTTCATTTAAAATCCCTGGTTTATTCCAGTGTTTCCAAACTGCTTTTGTGCAGTGAGACACCAAACAAAATGATCTCAAAAATCATATGTAATGAAATATAATAATGTTATTGTTTAAATATACTCTCAATTCACTAAAGTCTTGGCCTGTTTAGTTGGAGACAATGCTGAGGAATGCTTGCAGGAATTGAAGAAAGACATCACAGATCTTTCGCTGATTCTTTTTATAGTTTTCATAGCCATCCACTCCCACCTAGTGGACGAGTATTTAATTGTTCTGCCTGTAATGCATTGACAAACGAAGAAGCAATATTTGCTATACATAAAAACCTTTTTAGACCAATTTTCCGCAGCACACCTAATGGTCACAGCTGGAATCACTGATTTATTCTATACTTGATTGAAAAAGGTAAACACAGACACAGGCGGGAGTGTTGAAGTACAGCACCGTAGATTCCATGACGACTTTCAGTCGTTTTAGCAGCTGATTTGTTGTTTTCGTCACTCAGTTCTGACATCACAGTCGTCCGGCCTTTAATGTCCTGTAAACTGTGAGTCCTGAATTCAAGATTCAAGAATCTTTATTGTCATTTCACCTCATGTTAGACGTAAGGTGTAACGACGTTGTTACCCTGGTCCCAGTGGAAGCCCATGGTAACAAACAAACAGAATAAGATACTTAAAAAAAATCATTTAAATGTAGCTATGATGGACACACCATAACAGTCTGTCCTTCTTGTCCCCTGAACAACAACGGTCCGGCTGTTGTAGCCCATCAGTTTGGTTTTAACCTTCTGTTCACTCTGTCTGCACAGATGTCTGAAGACATGGCCGCCGACCACGTCAACGGTAACGGCACGGAGGAGCCCATGGACACGACGGCTGCAGTGACCCACTCAGAACACTTCAGTTCTCTGCTGGAGGCTGGACTACCTCAGAAGGTGGCGGAGAAGCTGGATGAACTCTATGTAGCAGGTCAGTAGAACAGTCAGAGGTGGACCTTGTTCTGGGTCGGTGCTTTGATTCTGGTCCTGTTTCCTCTTCCACTGATGGGACTCAGGTCTTTGTTGATGGTAACCCAGGTGGTGGCGCTGTGATGAGTCTGTTTCTCTATGGAAGACACTGTTATTTTAATCAGGTTCATTTGTTTGAAGCATGTCAGCCTCCCTGTTCTTCACAAAGATCGGACCAATCAGGGAAGTTCTCTGGTCTGGGTCTGGTACTGAGGTGGTGTCGGGTGTCAGCACTCAGGGTTAGGGTTAGGAGCTGAAGGAGAACTCCACATGGATGGTGTTCAGGGAGGAGCTCCTCAGGCTCCGTGGACATGATGATGACCACCACGTTGATGTTTAACTGTTTTCATTTTTTACTTGTTATTGTGTGAGGACAACGTAAGAAAGTCAAGATTCCTGTTTTGTTTTGTTTTTTCTCTGTGGACCTTTGCTTGGTCCACTCCCCAGAGGTTTGGTCCCTTTTCTAAGTCATTCAACTCTCCTCAGGTCTGTTGGCTCACAGTGATCTGGATGAAAGAGCCATCGAAGCTTTGAAGGAGTTCAACGAGGAGGGGGCGCTGCAGGTGTTGGCCCAGTTCAAGGACAGTGACCTGTCCCACGTCCAGGTGAGTGGACCAGTGGTGGACCAGTGGTGGACCAGTGGTGGACCAGGGAACAGAACTTTTCACTTGAACCCTGAAGTTCTCCCCCTGTGTTGTAGAACAAAAGTGCCTTCCTGTGTGGAGTGATGAAGACGTACAGGCAGAGGGAGAAACAGGGGACCAAGGTTTCAGACTCAACCAAAGGACCCGACGAAGCTAAGATCAAAGAACTCCTGGACAGAACCCAGTACACCCTGGACGTCACTACAGGACAGCGCAAGTACGGAGGGCCCCCCCCAGAGACCGTGTACTCAGGTCCACAGCCCACATGTGGGACAGAGGTGGGTTGACTCAGACTGTCTGTTCTCTCTGTCTCTCTCCCTGCCTCATCCACACTCACTCTCTCTCTCCCCCCCCTGAACCCCCCGAACCCCCAACATCCTCCACCCTCAGATCTTTGTGGGGAAGATTCCTCGGGACCTGTTTGAAGACGAGCTGGTTCCTCTCTTTGAAGAAGCCGGTCCAATCTGGGACCTGCGGCTGATGATGGAGCCGCTGACGGGTTTGAACCGAGGCTACGCCTTCGTCACCTTCTGTACTAAAGAAGCCACTCAGGAGGCCGTGAAGCTGGTGGGTCAGAGCTGGACTCTGGACTCTGGTGCAGGTTCTGGTTCTGGTCTAGTCCTGACTGATGTTCCCTTCTTCGTTTCAGTGCAACAATCACGAGATCCGTCCTGGCAAACAGATTGGTGTGTGTATATCTGTGGCCAACAACCGTCTGTTTGTCGGTTCAATTCCAAAGAGTAAAACAAAGGAGCAGATTGTTGAGGAGTTCTCAAAGGTCACAGGTGAGAGCGTCTCCTCCTTTCATTCCTTTTCCTCCTCCTCCTCCTGCCACAGCCCAACAATTTCCCTTGTCCTCGCTCTGACACTACCTTGTCGGACCAACAGAGGGCCTCGGCGACGTCATACTCTACCATCAACCCGACGACAAGAAGAAGAACCGCGGCTTCTGCTTCTTGGAGTACGAGGACCATAAAACGGC